AGTGGGTCTCTGGGGATGTGACTTTGGGGGTTATATTTAATCCTTACTGGGCAGAGCTTGCTCTCTGTTTTCTGGTCGCCATGTCTTGAGCTGCTTTCCTCTGCCACGCACTTCCACCATCCTGTTCTGCATCACCTTGTGTTCAGAGCCATGGAAACTGCTGACCATAGACTGAAACTCTGAAACTGTGAGCCAAGCTAAACTTCCTCCTCTTAAGTTATTGTTGTCAAGTCTTTCGGTCACAGTGACTAAAAAGTTGGCTAAAATAGTAGCTTTTCAACATATATTTGTTGAAGGATAGTTTGGCTAACTATAGGATTCTTGGTTGACAGTTGTTCTTGGATGTGTCATCCCACTACCATCTGGCTGCCATTGTTTCTGATGAGAAGTTGGCTATTGATCTTAAGTTTCCTTGTATGTGGTAGTTTTTCTCTTACTGCTTTCAAGAATTTCTTTTCCTTTTTTTCTTTCAGCAATTTTACTGTGATGTGCTTGTGTGTATCTCTTTGTGTTTATTTTACTTGAAGTTCATTGACTTTTTTTTAATGTGAAGATTAATTCTTCAAATTTGGAAAGTTCACAGCCATTATTTCTGTTAGAGTCTGTAAACAAGTCAGGATGGCACCTGGCAAATGTTAGAGTCTGTAAACAAGTCTGGACGGCGTCTGGCATTTTGCCAGAGGGAGTGGTTTGTGAAGTAACTCCAGCGAGCCATTAAGTGTGGTGATTCCTTATTGGTTGACTGCTGTATTTAGTTTATGTTAATTAAGATAAGCTGTGTGGAATGTATATATACCGCTCCTGTCCTACAATAAATGGCTCCCACTCCTGCTGTATCAAGGTACACAAGTTGTTCGTCACCCCCCAGTTATTTTGCTACAGCCGGACTGCAGCAATTTCAAGTATTTTTTCCAGCCCTTTTTGCTCTCTCCTCTTCATCTGAAAGTCACATTAGATATACATTGGGGCACTTAATAATGTCTTTTTTTTTTTTTTTGTACTGGGGATTGAACCCAGGGGCACTCAACCACTGAACCATATCCACAGCCTTACTTTGTATTTTATTTAGAGACAGGGTCTCACTGAGTTGCTTAGTGCCTCTCCATTGCTGAGGCTGCCTTTGAACTCATGATCCTCCTGTCTTAGCCTCCCAAGCTGCTGGAATTATAGGCATGTGCTACTGCTCCTGGCTTCCTTTAGGTCCTTGAAGCTCCATTTGTTTTTCTTCATTCTCTTTCTCTCTGTTCTTCATGTTGCATTACCTCTTTGAACTATATTCAAGATCACTAATTATTTCTTCTGCCAGTTAAAATTTACTGTTGAGACCGTCTAGTAAATTCTAAATTTCAGTTATTATACTTTTCCAGCTCCAAAATTTTCATGTCTTTTTATGATCTTCGTCTCTATTGATATTCTCTATTGATGAAACATTAACATGCCTTCTTTTACTCCTTTAAGCATAGGTTTTCAAAAATTACTTGAACATATTTAATAATGGCTACTGAAAAATCTGACATCTGTTCCCTCTCACAAACAGTTCTTACCGCCTACCTCCTGTCCCCCATGGGGCATTATTTACACATTAAAAAATATTTTTAGCTGTAGATGGGCACAAGACCTTTATTTATTTATTTATTTATTTATTTATGAGGTGCTGAGAATTGAACCAGTACCTCACACATGCTAGGCAAGTTCTCTGTCACCAAGCCACAACCCCAGCCCTCATTTACACATTTTTATTTCTGTTTATGTCTTACACATTTTGGTTGTTGTTATTGTTGTTGTTACATATTGAACATTTTAGATAGAACCAAGGAGAGAGAGGGCTGGGAAGAGCCCTTCTGGAGAAACTATGTAAAAGCTCTGGACACACGTTCCCCCTGCTCCTTCTCTGGGGCTTGTCATTGTGGTTTGCCTGTTCATTTAGTGATATGGTGGCTGGACTATTTTGGTACAGTGTGATGCCTCTGGTGTTGTTCCTCAGCATGGCCTTGGTAGGCCCACAGTCACCCACAAGATGACAGTTTCTGTAGGACTGTCTCTTTTCCTCATGACATCTAGTGGTTAGATGTTACTAATTCTTCCCTATTTGCTCCATTGTTATTGACAATGCTCTAAGTCATCAATTGCTCCTGAGTCTGACCCATGGCTAGTTTCTGAGGTCAGGGTTAGCCCCCAAAAAGGCTTTTCCTAGCTCTCCCTTTTCCTGATCCTCCCTGGTAATCTAGACGGTCTATGATTTAGCTTTTCTTTCTCAGGAAGCTCTTAATTGCTTATCACCAAAATGCCATTGTTTTTGAGAATGACTTTAGACTCGAACTTTCCCATTCTGTGCTTCAAATAAAATTAGTTTCTTTCAGTAAAACTTCATAACCCTTTGTGAAAGGCCTGTCTCTCTAGCTGGGCAAATTCTCTGAGCTGAAGATCTGACATCGGGGACAGGGACAATGGCCTGCTTCTTTTGAAGTGACACCTTCTTTTAGAAGCAGGGCACTGAGTGGGAGCGCTTGTCCCCTGGTCTTCTCAGCTTGCCTATCCTATTATAGAATCACAGTCATACAAATGAACTGGGTTCAGGGTAGTCATGGCCCCAGTATTCTTAGCATAGTGAAACTGGGGTAGAACATCTGTCATATGAGTAGGATAAGGAGGAAGACGAGCACCCCTAACATCTTGGCTATGTTCACCTTTTTTTTTGCAATATGCAACTGGAGAGATGAGTCATTCTCATGACCTGCCTTTCTCTGAAAAACACCATAGTCTTTGGGTGCTGGGAGAAGTCTATGCTCTTGGCTATACACACCTAGAATGGAATTTCTGTCATACTGAGCCGGAAGCAGGGAAGAAATGGTGGATATAATTCAAATGCTGCAGATTTATTACTCATGTCTGAGTTTTAGTAGACTTTTCTTGAATAAATAGTCCTTCATTTTCTGTTTGCCCTTAGATCAATTCCAAGAGATTTTAACTGGTTGGTTTTTCAATAATTTTCGTTAGTTATAGTCATTTCACTGTGGATCAAGTCCACTAAGCCTGTCACTGTCATTCCAGAAGGGAAACGCCCAGTGTGTGTTTTATATATCGTTTTGATTTATTGATCCAACAACATAAAAGCATGTCCAATAATAAAAAAATAATAAGTTTTAAAAAGCAGCCTGAGATAGTCTTATGAGTGTGGCCACAGTCCTCGGTGGTGTGGAAGTGGGAGACAATTATTCAGCAAATTATGAATGTCAATCTACAGACAGATTGATGGATGCCTGGATGGAAGCCAGTGTGGACAAATGACCATGATTGAATCATGTTCACCAAAACCTTGCCCTTAACCCGTCCTTAGACCCCAGATGCTGCTGACTTAATTTTTCCCCCCAATCTGGCAGAATAGGGGATTGGTGGGGAAAAACTGAGTTGCAGAAAAATAATGACTTTCTTTTTTTTTTTTAAGAGAGAGAGAGAGAGAGAGAGAATTTTTAATATTTATTTTTTAGTTCTTGGCAGACACAACGTCTTTGTATGTGGTGCTGAGGATCGAACCTGGGCAGCACGCACGCCAGGCGAGCACGCTACCGCTTGAGCCACATCCCCAGCCCAATAATGACTTTCTTATGCTTCTAAAACTATGGATTAGGACTTAAATCAATAAAAAGTATAGATCATTCCTGTGGTTGAAAGGAGGGAGCTGAGGGAAAGAAAAGGGATAGGAGCGAGTTTGTTCCTCTCGAGAGTTTAGAACATGTTTAAATGTTCATAAAAGGGATTTGGTTCAGCAGGAAGGTTAAGGATACCAGAGAAAGGTTAGTTTGTTAGGTTTAGTGACTAAAATATAAAACTACAGACATATCTGATGGCTTCTATTTTCTTGGCAAAGTAGGAGCAAAGATCATCTCCCAAGAGGATAGAGTCAGTTAAATGATTGAGTGTCGAATGTCTGAAGGTCAAGAACATGCGCAAAAAGAGTGAGTTGACAAATGAAAAGATTCAGATTGTTGGGCGGTGGAGGGCAGGGTCTGGCAAAGCTATGGATTTTAGCTGCAGACAGTACTAACTGATACGACTTTATAGTTTTTCTCCAACTGTGCTCAGCTGCTCTGAGCAGGAATAGAGAAGATGAAATATTGGGATCATCATCCAAAGGGTTGAGATTATTCCAGAAAACAACTGCTCAGAAACTTTTCATATATTTAAAAAGCACGTATCTTGAGCCAGGCATAGTGGTGTACATCTATAATCCCAGTGACTCAGGAGGCTGAGGCAGGAGGATTGCAAGTTTGGGGCCAGCCTCAGCAATTTAGTGAGACCCTAAGCAACTTAGTGAGGCCCTGTGTCAAAATAAAAACTAAAAGGGCTGGGGATGTGGCTCAGTAAGCACCCCTGGGTTCAATCCCTGGTACAGTAAAATAAAATAAAATGGCACACATCTTTTATAGCTATAGCTATTCTCCAAACTAAGCAAATCCTTTCTTTTAAATTTTATGATATCTATTTTTTAATCCTTTTGATAGTTGTCTTTGTATTCCCTGTCTCTTTTCCAGATTTCCTACTAACTTTTAAACAAGAGAGGCTCTAAGTGGTTAAGAGACCACTTCTTGCAACTATCTGCCAGGTACAAATATTACTTTTAGCACTTACTAGCTGTGTATTCTTAGGCAAATCATCTAACACCTCTGTGCCTCAACTTTCTCATCTGTAAAATGGGAGAAAGAATAATAACAATATCCTCTTCATAAATTTGCTCTAAATATTAAATTAACTAATGAACTATCTAGAGTACTACTTGTGTTTATTATTATTGCAACCCAAATGAAATACTCAAACCAGAACAGAGTAAGACATAAGGGATTACATTCTGGCATATGCATCCCGATATTCTCTTTCCCCTTCTCCCACTAAGTTGTATAGTAATTGCACACTCACGGTAAACATGAGGAAAGAACTAAGACTCATTTATTTGAGAATCATTCTCCTTCTTTTATTCAAGATATGAAACCATATTGGTTCCATGGGACCAGATTTATTGCTGACCTTTATCTGAATATCTTGTGCTTACAAATTCATCTCCTTTCTTTGATAACCTATTCTGAAAATGCTGTACCTTTTCTTTCCCACAAGTAAATTAAGAATCCTGATTAGGGATGATTCTCATAAAGCACTAAACCCTCAGTTGGGCAGTAAGCAGTCCCCATGCTGGTACTGTGATTTCTGTCCCTTAGTAGCCTTGGCACCAAGGAAACTGACTTACATAGAGTAGCAAACGAAACGGCAACTGATGATGATGATGGAAACATAAGTTCTCCTCCTTGCTTTCCCTGCATGTAGCCTTTCAAGGAGGACCAGAAGGTAGACAAGGGAACACGGTACTTTAAGTCCCAACCAGGACCGTAGTGAAATTCGAGTTCTGCCAACCAATAGTTGTATATCTTCAAATGAAAAAAATAAACACTCACAACATTATAAATAGTTCAGTAACTGACTAGCAACATTCTCCCTATTGCCAACCAAGATTCTTGGAGCCACTAACAGAGTGGTCTCACTCACAAGCCACTCCTTCCTTAAAACTCCCTTCTACTGAAAACGGAGGGGGAATTAATTTTCTTCCTTGAAGTCTTTCATGCTAACCTTGGAATGTCCAATCTTAGATTTTCTCTTTACTAACCAGGAAGGTTTATTTCACATCACATTTGAGTTTGCTTGTTTTTTTTCCTTTCTTCTCAGACAAAACCCTACTTTACACCATGCCACCTCCTAAGGTCTCTCACTTTCTTTCTGCTCTTTGTTCATATTGGCTGAGTCCTCTTCTATGGTATGTTTTAAAACTGGAAGACTTTATCATCTCTCCCTAAATCCCAGAAAATACTTCCATTTTCACACAATGCCAAAATACCCCCTCCCCCACCTTTAACAGGCAATGCATGTTACATGTTAGCCCTGTGCTATTAACGCTATATTTTTCATGAAAATAATAGAGAGATTATCTCATCTACTTTGTACTATATTGAGTGTAGCAAATGTATGCAGATAATTTATATACTTTGGATTGTGATGATACCCAGAGAAGCAGAAAAAAAAAAAAAAACATGTTTTGCTCTAACAGGAATCATGTATTTCCATCTTTGATTACAAAAGTCACACAAAGACTTAAATTCTAATAAACAACTTTAAATACAAGAAAAAATGCTGGCTATTTCATATTGAAATCTTCATAGAGACCTGAAGACTTTTCATACCAGGTTCTTATTCAGTTAAGGCTGTGAAATATTGAAGAAAAGAGGAACAGGGTAGCGAGAAGGAAAGAGGGAAAAAACCAGAAAAAAAATCTTTTAAAATTCTGAGCAAATGATTCTGTGTACAGTGACATTCAATATAAGAAATTTCACATAGACAAATCCTAAATTGTGCTTTTGAATTATTGTAAAAAGCATCTCAATGCTCACATTTCTGAAGACATCTGCAATTTGCTTGAGGTACCTCTCCAACTTTACACCTTTGTTTTTAATGCCCTCTTTCATATAGTAGTCTCACACCTATTCTTCCTTTTGGTAAAGATAACAATATTTTAAACAGGTCATGTCTATAAAGCAGCAATCAGCTACTTGAAAAAAAAAAAGATATGCTCAACTTCCAAAATGTAGGAGAGCATGAACCTCTTGAAAGCTCTGTTGATTATTCCAACAATGTGGCCACTTCTCAAACTATTTTTAGAATTTCTCTTTGGAATTATCTTCAATTAGTTAAATGCCATTTAGGAAAGCCAGTCTTGGTACTTAATAGCATCACTTACCCTGTTCAATCAATTTGACTTCAAATTACAGTTTGGGTGGGATCTAAAAAATCAAATTTAATGTCAAAAAACAAAAGGTTTTTCTACTATGAAAGTTATTATCTTTTTAAAATGTGAAAGCCTTCTGAAAATGGCATCCTAAAAGTTATCATAAAGGAGAGTAGCAGGTTAGAGTAAGGGTAAGCTTCCAAATTTCCCAAGACAGGTAATTGGGATGGGTGGGGTGGCAGGAAGAAGGGTGGAAGGGAGAGTCATTTTTATGAATAATCTTGGAATACTTTTTGAACAGTCATATTTCTTTATGCTATTTGCCCTTCAGATGGTTAAGTTTTATGTAGTAATTAACCAACTTTCAAAATCCAACTTTTCAGAATCCCCAAATGGTTTCAAAATAAGATCTGAATTTAAAATTTCCCACAAAGATTACAAGGATGGAAAGAAGTGCACCAATTTATGTAAGGATAAGAATTTTCTGCTCACAAACCTAAGCACCTAAGCATGGTCAGAGGTGCAAGTTCTAGAATCTAAAGATTTTCGTTCAATGCTGGTGATATAGAGGGGCCTTCAAGCAGCTCTGAGGGTCTCCATTCAATCCTGAAACTATGTATTTGAACACATACTGGTTGCATTCAGTGATTTTTGCTTTGTTTCACAGTGTGATTCCTGTAATATGAGCTTTTCAGTAATTGTGAATTTTATTTGTGTCTTTTTTTTTTTGGCACTTAAGTTCACAATGCTGGGTTGTGTGGCTTAAGATTGTTTTAATTTTTGCATTTTACATTCCTTTTGGCACTTTCTGAAGAAGGGGACATTGTTTTTATGTTGTTTGGGGGGAAGTGGCAACCCGCCCCCTCTCTTTAGTTTTAAATGTTTGGCTTTATGAAATCCATGATTCTCCCTGGAATCTTGTATCATTAAATGAAGGGGTGGAAGTTCGCCTTCAAAAGCTGTCCATCCCAGCCCTTTTTAGAGGCTAGTATCTCCGGCTTCAGTTTTAGGCTGTTTGGCTATTGCTGTCACAGGTTCTGGTGGTCCCTCCCTGCAGAAAAGCACAACTGGGTTTTTGCGGGCCCACATGGCCACGTCACCTCCGGCCCCACTGGCGGTGTTGGAGGAGGACATCCTGCTGCAAGCCCCTAGGCGGTTTCGAAGGCGATTACGGCTTCTGGCCTGCAAACCCTGACCCTGGCTGGGTAGGAAAGCGTCCACATTTCTAGTCCGGTACCCCTCCTCGCGGTTGCGCCCTAGAAGCATGGAAATGTTGGGGTTGCGAATGGCATAGATGACAGGGTTGATAGCCCCATTGGCCCAGGTTAACCAGACAGCCACCACGTTGAGGAGAGAAGGGGCCTGCGTGGCCTGGGCCTGCCGGGTCGCGGCCAGCAGCACCAGGAAGCAGTAGGGGCCCCAGCAGCAGATGACGAAAACAATCATGATGAGCACGGTGGTGGCAGTGCGCACCTCGCTGAAGAAACGCAGCACACGTGCGTAGGTGGTCATTGGCCTCACGCGCACATCCGACAGGCGAACGGTCTTGCAGATGTGATAGTGACAGAAGCACATGAGCAGGAAGGGCAGCAAGTAGCAGGCCACCACCAGCCCCACGCTGTAGGCCGCGCCCAGCTGCGCGGGGTCTGGAGAGGTCCGGTAAAGGCAGCCATGGAAGGTCTGCACTGAGGAGGGCTCCCGGGATCCCCCAAACAGTTCCCAGGGCAAGGAAAAGCCTAGCGCCACCAGCCAAGCGCCCGCCAGGAGCTGCAGGGCGCGGCGCCGGCCGATCTTCTCCCGGGGCGGCCGCACGATGGCGCAGTAGCGGTCCAGCGAAATGAGGGCGACGCTGAAAGTGGACACGATGCCGAAACACGAGCTGAAGAAGCGACTCGCTGCGCAGAAGCCGCGCCAAGGCCCCGCGGCGACTTCGGGCGCCGAACCTCCGTGGGGAATGAAGAGGTCCAGGAAGGCAGCGGGCAGGCAGAGGAGCGCCGTGAGCAGATCCGACAGGGACAGCGACAAAATGAAGGCATTGGTGACGGTGCGAAGCTGCCGGTGCTTCACGATCACCCCCATCACCGCGCAGTTGCCCAGGCTAGATAGCAGGAAGATGAGCAGCAGGACGAGCGCCTGAGCTGCCACCGCTGCCCCGTGCGATAGCACCGGCGCCGCCTCTGGGCCCAGCACCGCCCCCGCCGCCCCGGGCCTGCCTCCGCCGCCGCCGCCACCTGGAGCGGCAGCACTGCCTCCCCCGCTGGCGTCGCTCTGGTTCCCCAGCGCCGCGGCCGCTGCGGTCGCCACGGTGCTGAAGGAGAGCACGGCCAATGTCGCCGCGGAGGAAGTCCCGCCAGGCGAGCCGGCCGCGGAGGGGGCGCCGGGATGTGGGACGCCCGGCAAGGCCATGCTCACTGGTGGGCGGGCCGGCGGCGGCCGCGGATGCTCCTCCATGGGGCCCCGCGGAGGCCGCGGATCTGTTCATCCCGCACCGGGGAGGCGGCCTCTGGGCCGGAGAGGTGGCTTGGGCCGGGGGAGCGGCCGCTGTGGGGAGTCAGGCTGGGCGGGAGGGGTGACGGTCACAGAGGACCCGGCGGAGCCTTTGACGTGGGCTCCAGGCGTTGCCGTGGGAACCGCGTGTTTACGCAGGAGCGCGGGGCGGGACGCCAGCCCAGTACCCCAGAAAAGCCAGCCCCTGACACCCCTCCTTTCCCTGAGGTTACCCAGCCATTGGTTTGAGCTTCAGAGTGCCAGCCAGGTTGGCCTCCTAGGGAAGGAGACCGGCCCGCATACTGTGGAACAGATTTATTCAAGGTTCAGTGTCATACCGTGAGTATGACTGCTTAGGGATAGAATATCAAATGAAGAAACAAAGGAACCATAGGTGGAATGCTAGGGAGTAGTAAAAAAACTAAGAAGCAGTTAAAGGGCACAAAACAAGGCTGTGAGAGAGTTAATGAGGCTTATGTTTTTGTCTTCAGTAAAGAAGGGAAGGTAATGTCCCCAGGCTGTCCTCAGGAAAGTCATTTGTGCTCTTGAGGTCAGCCCTGTCCTTTATCTGAAAACAGGATTTTCATGTATTTCAGAGTTGAAATGGCTTACCAGATCAGGGGAACTCACCTGTAAAACCTGGGCCCAAACAAGCAATTAAAATAGATTTGCCAATGAATTTTACTGTTCACAGTGTAGCCCTCCTACTAAGCAGCATTAATATCACCTGAGGATTTGGTAGAACTGCTCCCCCCAGGCCTACTGGATGAGAATCTGCATTTTAAGATTCACAGGTGATTTATACACTTGCCAAAGTATGAGGAATGTTGTCTTAAGGATATTATGCAATTTGTAGCTTTTGAGAGTTTTGAGAAGGATGACCCAACTCTTATGGAATTTGGGGGACTTGAAGCAATGAGCAACGCAAGTTCATAGTGAAGGAGAGAGAAGGACCTGGACTCATACAATGGCAGTGCTAGGTGGGTTTAATGGGGACTGGGTCTCAACCTAAAGGCCTTGGGAATCTCACTGAGTGGCTCTGTGGGTGAGCTCAGCACTAAGTGGGTGGGGGGTTCCTAGTGTAATATACTCTCCTGCAAGTAGCAAGCAGAAGCAGCCACCATGGATTGCATAAACCTTGTGGAGACAGTTAAGTGTGACAATTAGGTCAAGTATAGCTTCCAAGTAGTAATGAAGCAGAAATCAGACTTAAGAGTTGACTAGCAAATGGAAGGTGAGAAAATGTACCCAGTGAGTGGAGAGTAAGAAATCTAAAAACTCGAATGCCAAGGTAAGGAGTGACAGCAAGCTAAAGGATGAGGAACAGGGATGTTTGGTTCATTCTACTTGTGATAAGACATTTAAGTACTTAAGGGAAGAAACCAGTGAGGGGAAGATCAGATATACTTTGGTTGGTGAGGTTAGACCCTTAGTGATCTAGGATGGAGTAGAAGTGAGCAACATTTAGAAGGTAGAATCAATAGGGCTTGGTGACTGGCCAGACAGGCAGAGGTGGGAGGTGATCTCCCTAGTGTTTCTGACCCCAAAGGAGACAGGGCAAAATATAGAATAACATTTGTTGTATTGCAAGGGTTTGGCTCTGGTTTAGATTAGAATTTTGGAAGAGTTAAGTAACACCAATTTTTGAATGTTTAAGAAATACACCATCATTATTCAAGTACTGTATCTTGAAAAAGTTCTAACTGTCCTTTCGTAGAGATAGAAGAAGTATAGTAAGAAAATAGTGTAGTCAAAAGTCTAGATTCACAGCCTCTAGAATGACCTTTGGAGAGTTATTTTGACATACCTGATCTGCTTCTCCCTCTTCTGACTGGGACAAGCAGTAACACACAGAGGATCTGCAGAGGGAGTGATCCACCCTGGTGCAGCTGACAAGAGCTATGCTGTTTGTAGAGAATTCCAAAACAGTGATAAAACTGGCTAAAAGTCATCATTTGTTTATTATCACCCAGAACTGACAATTCTAAATATCAGGGATGAAATTCCCACCCTTGGTAACCATGGGATACTAATACCTATTGCAGAGTATAATTCATTATAGTAGAGGCTATGTAACATGGCATATAAAAAGCTATAGAATGTAACTTTTAAGCAATGTATTTTTTCAAATTATTGTGACTTGTGAGATTTGGAGAGAAAAGAGTGGTTCTGTTCACTGTTATTTAGTTCACTTTTAATTTTTTTTTTTTAAAGTACAGCTCTTAATCTGTAGTAAAAAGTACATGGTCACACTGAGTTAGTGATAGTGTCACTTTTCTTTGGTGCTTTCTTTGCCACAGAATTTCATAAAGACCAAGTGAAAAATACCATAACTGCTTTTGTGTAACATGGAAATTTAAAAATATTAATTTTGGTCAGGTAAAACCATAGAACTAAAGACAGGATCAGTTTGGATTTACTGGGTGATAAAGCCTGGTAAAATAAATAATTAATTCAGTTTTTGTATGTTTAGAAAGAAAATACTATTACCTACCTCACAAAAGAGTCTACTGAATTCTTTAAGGGCATCACATTAAAAGAGACAATTTTAGTGCTTCAATCTATGACAACTACTAACAATCAAATATTTTAACACGCTCACAGATAAGAATTGTCTGGGAAGAGTGCCAAAGGTCTACATTTATTTCTTCTTTATTTCTATGTGGTTGATAATGTGACTCATTCCATTATAAAGATTCATTATTTAATTCGTTTCTTTTTTCTTTTTTTTCAGGGCCAAGGACTGAACTCAGGGCCTTGCACATGCTAGGCAAGCACTCTGCCACAGAGCTAAAATCCCTATCCCCTATTAATTTCTACTATGTACTTGCACTTCAATAATGCAATGGACAATTCCTTTTATAAAAGCCTTAGAGAAGCCAGAGGGTAACTCAGTGGGTAGGAATGTACTAAGCATTCTTGAGGTCCTGGGTTCTGTACCCACTTTGGATTCCATCTCTACCATGCACACACACATGCACATGTGTGGACACACACACACGCACACAAGCACGCACGCACGCACCTTAAAGAGATAGCAAGTCTGATTACTAATTAGTCTTAGCATAAGTTTATGACACTTAGTACTTGTGAATATAGGAGCCCAATTTGCAGCTTGGAGCACATCCCAGCAGCAGCTAAAGTAACACCTACTCACAGAAGTTGACCACCCAGGCTGTTTATATTAAGTGTTGGATACCCCTTAATAATCCATATCCTTTATATGCTGCTTATAGAGGCCATTACTTTACTAAAACTAGAAGACTAAAAAAATTGTAAAGTTTATTGTTGAGAAGGCTACAATTACAAATTTTATTCAAAGAATCTCTAAAACAAAATCTTATAGCAATTACCATAGAGTAATATTTAAGTAACTAAGGTTCTATTTTACCTGATAAGATAATGACTAGAAAAGTTTCTGAATTTTTGGCACTTTGTATAGTAGACATAAGTGATATTTATATCAAAGTCCATTTGAAAATAGGGGGATAATTGTCTATTTCACTACAGTGTACTATTTTAGAAAGAAGGGATATTAGATGACATGATTCACTCAATAATGGTTAACACATAATTTAAAGGAAACATTGATTACAGATAATAATTACTTTGGAAGGAAATCCCTTAAAAGTCACGGAAGAGGTCACTTGAGAAGAAATCCATCCTTCAGTGGGTCGTCATCTTCTACAGTAAGGCTTGCTGCACCTGTGTAATGCGCTTGTCCTGATACTTCCACTATAACCGCTTTGAAGTCACCACATTTTGCTTCCTGAAAAAGATGGAAGGAGCATCCTATCAAAATATTTCACTCATACTGTACCTGGCTTAAAAGTTGAACTCTTGATTTTTATCGTGCTAAAGGAACCCCAAGGGCTATGGAAAAATTTTAAGGAAAGTAACTAACGTGGTCTAATGTGTATTTTAGATATGTTTAGCATAAAATGAAGGACAAATTGAAGAGGAGAGAGACTAGAAGCCCAGAAACCTGTTAAGAGAGAAATTTGATTCACTGGTTTAATCCAGAGGCACTAGGTAGTTTTTAGTAAAGATGGAGAAAGATAACATAATATAGAAATACTTTGGAGGTGGAAATGACTGGCCCGTTGACAATGTAGAAAGAAATTAAAAATAAGGTAAACAAGACCATGGTTTCGTGCTTGGAAGTGAAACTAATGATGCCATTAGCTAAGATGGGGAATAAGAGAGGAGTATGTGGAAGGAAGGATGGTAGCATGGACTTAAAAAATATAGTTGTAGATGGTCAGAATGCCTTTATTTTATGGGGGGCTAAGGATCGAACTCAGTGCCTCAAACATGCTAGGCAAGCGCTCTGCCACTGAATAACAGCCCTAGTCCATAGGATGGACTTTTTAACAAGTTGAGTTTGAAATACTTTGAGGACATTCATTCCTCATAGAGATGAGGATAGTGACCAGCAATAAAAGTGTTAGATCAGAAAGAGTTGCAAGACAGGAATCGTAGGGATGAAGGTTTAGGAGTCATCAGCAGCAGAGGGGTTGAGAACTGAAGTCTAGAAAGTGGAAGAAAGTGTCTAGTGGCATTAAATTGTAGATGAGATGGAAGGAAGCTAAGAATAAAATGCTGGAATCACTTAATTGGATGGACAGGGAGCAGAAGCTGGGGCAGGGAAAGAGACTGAGAAAGTACCATCAGAGAGCCTGGAAGAGCCCAGACAGAAAGGAAAGGCTTATAGTGCATGTGAAGATACTCTGGTAAGCCTGATTAATAACTGTAAAATAAATAACAGAAAATCTTACTTGAAGTTGATTTTTACTTTCAAATCTTGTAAATAAGAACAACTAAGGTAAAGGTAAATGTCAAATATTAAAATAGGGTACAGTAATTTTATTATTTTGTTACAAAGCTGGTATAATATCAAGCACCGGTAAACTTGGCTTTGAGTGGTAGCAGTACAATGTAATAATTAACAGCATAGAGTCTGTTGAGAGAGACCCACATTCATAGCCTGGCTTTGCTACTCATGAACTAAGTTCTGACAAATTTACCTAAGCTTTCTAATTCTCTATTTTTTCATCTATTAAAAAAGGATCATAACAGTACCAGTCTCTTAGAATTCTTACAAGGTTTAAATGAATAATATGGTATGTATAACATTCTTAGCTTGGAAATTGATACACAGTGATGTACCTAGTAAATATTCTATATTATTATTTTTATCTTCAGGCTCAAATTCTGAAGACATTGTGCTCCAAGTGTTCTCATATGCTATAAATGGTTTGGTATACCATAAAATCAGTCTATGATCTAGGAATACCTAACTTAAAGAAAATTCCATATTCAGAAAAAAACAAACCTTGAAAATAACTGATAATTAGGATGGATTGTTTTCTATGTTAAAGGAATAGAGATTCATTTACTACATGTATTCATTCTGGGGTAGATTTCACTTACTACCATAAGTAGATTAATTGGCCCTGTTAACATATTTAAAATTTTATTTCAGTACAAAAATTTTGCTTTTTACAATTTTTCATGGTTTTTACATTCTATTATATAAAATAAAACACTCTGTAGATTAAAACAAAAAATAATAACAAAATCCCCAAACCATAATTTATTGGTTCTCAAACCTTATGGTTTCGGTACCATTTATACCTTAAGATTTGAGGACCTCAAGGAGGTTTGGTTTATGAAGGTTATATCTATCCATATTTGTTGTATTGAGAATTAAAGATATTTGTTAATTACTTCATTAAAAACAATAAACCCATTACAGTGATTACACTTTAATGTATAAAGAAATTTTTGTGAAATATATTTGCAAAAAATTTAATGAGAAATGTGGCATTGTTTTACACTTTTGCAAACTTCTTTCATGTCTGGCTTAACAAAAGACAGCTAGATTCTTATATCTGCTTTTGCATTGAGTTGGTTGGGATATCACCCATCATGTAGTCTCTGGAGAACTTCACTGAATACATTTGAGAGAATGAGAGTGAAAAGCAATTATTATTATTATTATTTTAGTCTTATTATTAACAGAGTTTTGACCTTGTAGACATATGGGAAGCATTTTGGGGACTCTTAGGGGTCCCAAGATTAAACTTTGAGAACCAATATGTTAGTTGAACAGAAGTTTTTACAGGCTTGCTTTAAAATTCTATTATGAACAGGACCCAGTGGCACAACCTATAATCCCAGCTACTTGGAGGCTGAGGCAGTAGGATTGCAAGTTCAAGGCCAGCCTCATCAATCTAGGGAGATCCTGTCTCAACAACAAAAAAAAGGACTGGGGATATAGCTCAGTAGTATAGCACCCCTGGGTTTAATCCTCAGTGTCTCTCTCTCTCTCTCTCACACACACACACACACACACACACACACAAATCTCTTCTGAGAACTCTTCACTCAGTCCTCTTCAGTTTCATAAGCAACATATTTACAAATAAGAAACAAAGGTGACACTCACCCTCACAGCTTTCCCTGTGAACACAGAGCCAGTTGCACTGCTTTTGAAGATCCTGGTTTGGTTTAGTTTTAGAAGGCCTTTATGATACTGCAGAGCAATTCGGGCTGTCACTCCTGAGCCAGTGGGGCTCCTGTCAACCTGTTTCAGCATAAAGGAAAAATGTTCAGAGTATTCTAGTTCCATAGTACCTGGTGTTTGTGGCTAACAATTACAGTTTTAATACCTGTTCATCTGCAAATACACAGATGTTGGTGGTTGGTTCCTCACTATAAGCATCTTTTCCATCTGTTAATATAGTTCCATAGAGAAAGGAAAGGTCTTCATTATCAGGATGAGTAATTTTAAACTGAAAATAAGAACAAAATAATTATCCATATGTAAAATAAATGCTTTATTTCAAATTTATCTTTTTCAATAATGTAGATAGGGTACTCTTAAATTTTTCAATCTTTACCATTTTGGGGCAAGGCACCAGATGCTAGATGCTATTCTTTAGATAGTTTTTTTTTTAATTATTATTATTTCTGGTTGTTATCATACTTTGGGTCCCTTCTAAGGAAACTGACCTGCATATAGCTTCAATGAAAAGAACAGTCCTCTATTATACATACACCTCAACAAACACATAATTTTTGAAGCACTGGCCCCAAGTCCACAGGCTGGCTGTAGCTAAAGCCATCGTATTTTCATTCTTAGGAGCCCGAAGGGGAGAATGTAGAAAAATCAGGCACTAAGTATCTAGAGCTGAGGTTAATTCCAGTGATAGAGACAAGGACTGTGAGAGGCCATGAGCAAATAAAAGTTAAAAGGATCTAGAAGATTTGGGGTAAGAGAAGCAATTGAACAGGGGAAAAAAGAAAGAAAGATACTGTAGAGGATGAAGTCAGTTGGTTCCATGAAAAACAGCAGACACAGAAGCTGGCACTGGCTGAGTTGGTAGGTCCTCAGTGGTAAGGAACATTAAGACCCAAAAGTGTAATGCTCCCAGGTTTTCTTGGGAGATCTACTTGTTTAACTTTCCCCGAGTTTCTATAATTCCAATTGTCTAGTAGACTAAGAGTACTATGATCTTCTCCATTTATTCTTATAATTAGTATATTTCACTCCCACTTACCTGTTATTTTTTAAAAATTGAACATATCTAGATTCTTAAAAGCCAACAGGCCTGCATATCGGATCTTAGCTTTCTGAGCCCCTGAGCCCAACTCCACTGAAGTACTACTCCAACACACTGTTCACAGCTTCACAAGTATGTCCCCCATCCTTCCCACCACTAGCTCAAGCTCCTGGGAGATAAGGTAGGGTTTGTTCTTCCTTTGGGTCTCTAGCATCTAGCATATGTCTGACATGCAATAAGTTCATGCTAAATGTTTGTTAAAAGAAAGAAGGAAAATTTATATTAACTTTAGCCCTTCCCCCCACAGATGGTCTTTCCCTAAATTTGCATCAGCAGTATTGATGGTCAGCAATTGACAAAGTAGTTCTACTATCTGATACATCAGCAATAGAACTTCATATTTTTCTCAAAATCTCCCCTCTATCAGGGTCCACCCTTGTCACTACCATCTGTGTGAGAAGTTCAGACTTTATGGGGAAGTTCAAAATTACTACTTTCACATGTCTTTTTCTTCTCAATTTCATAACAAATGGAATTATTGTGTGCCAATTTTTAAAACTATTAGCTTTCTGCTTGATAGAAAAAAATATAATTTTTGCTCTTTAAAAGTTCCTGACTAAATAATATCCACATAAAGTTTCAGAAAAATGAAAATTTAGAATAGCAATATAGCATATATTTTCATTTGTTACTTAAGTTTTTAATTAAAGCCAAGAGTGTTGAGTCCGTTAGAAATTACGAGTGCAAGTATAATAGACATTGCCTTTCACAAGTTAATTTTTACTATTAGTAATTAAATATTTAGGTGCCAAAACATTCAAATTATGTATTTTATCTCTAAGTTCTGACTTCAAGGTAAAATGGCAGACTTGTGCTAGAAATAATATTATTAACTCATTATTGAAACTGATTTTTATCAAGATGGTTTTATCCCAAGCACAAACTAGTTAGTTGAATAGTTATTTGAGTAACTTCTAGGCAATACAAGAAAAATTCACTAAGAAAATTTTTCATTAATTTCTTATTGAAATAAGAGTTTTTATCAGATCTAATAACCACATATAGCAAATACAGAATAACCACATAGAGCAAAACACATGAGCTTCAACTTAATGGAATATTGTATAATATATTTATTGTAATTTCAAATAACCATAAGCCATATCATCATAGGTATATTAAAAAGTGACTAATAGTTAACATTTATTGCTATTATTAAGGACCAGGCAATATTCTAAGTCTTTTACATGTATTAACTTATTTCACTTTTATAACAACCCTAAAAGCAGATACTGTATAATATCTGCTAAAAACTGGGGCATGCAGAGGTTATGTAACTTGTACAAGGTTATGAATATTATAAATGGCAAAGCCAGAGCTCACCAATAGCCTTGCTCTAGTACCTAAGATTTTAACCAGTACCCTATTAAGATACTTAATGGACATGATCATTCTATTTCTCCATGCCACAGAGGGAGGTTATTTGCTATTATGGCAGTGACTGGACTGACCTGAGCTTTCACTGCTTCTGTCACTGCACTCGCTGTGTTCACAAGGTCTCTTGTCTTCGCAGAACATACATCAAGTCCAAGCTTTTCTGCACTAACCAGTGCATAAAATGCTCCACCATATGCAATGTCCACCACCACCTTTCCATGTCCAGGAACATCCACCATGAGATCTTAAAAAGATGTGTTTGAAAATCAGTTTGTTTTTAGTATTTTAGCAAAACATTCACAGCATTTTAAATATTTAAATGTTTATTCTGTGGGAGAACTGAGGCTGGCTTTGAACTCACCATTCTCCTGCCACAGCCTCCCAAGATGCTGGGATTACCAGCATGAGCCACCGTACCCAGCTTGCAGGGAGAACTTTTGGTATCATGAAAAGGAATGAAGTAGAAATCCATTTTTCAAAAGAGTGAGCATCAGGTAATGATGGGTGCATCTTTTTATTTTTAACTTGATGATGTTTGCATTAAGTTGTAAAACATTTGAATGCTGTCACACCCCATATCATACATACATATTTATTAACTACTATGAAGCCCTTTTCTGAGAAACATCATAGAGACCAAGGGAGGGAAAACCCTCAGGTATAAAATTGATCCTTATAAAGGAAAATGTAGGTCCCTGATTTTACTACTAGTAACAGTTTAAAATAGAATTTGAATTCTACTCACAAATTGGTTTTCTTCAAATGCTAGGTCAAAACAAAATTTTTGAAAGAATTTTTTTTCTATAAATTATATACAAATATCATCTGCATGTTTTCATCTCAAAGTGATTCTGCAAAGACTCAGGAAAAAGCCATTGTACAATAGCAGACATCACATAGTGTTATTTTTGTATCAGGATTTTACATATCTAAAGTTCCACCTAAAGGTCAGTTCTTTGAAATCCTTTATCTGCATTTCCAAAGGAATGGGTTGGAAGATGTTTTGGGACATTAAAAGTGTCTCTACTTGTTTTAGTAAGATTTTTGCCACTATGACCAAAAGACCTGAACAGAACAACTTTAGAGGAGGAATAGTTTATTTGAGGCTCTTGGTTTCAGAGGTCTCAGTCCATAGTTGGCAGACTCCATTGCTCTGTGCCTGAGATAAGGCGGAACATGAAGGTAGAAGGGAGTGACAGAGGAAAGCAGCTCAGAACATGACACTTGGGAAGCACAGAGAGCAATGTTCATCAGGGACAAAATATATATCCCAAAGGCACATCTCCAGTGACCAACTTCCTCCAGCCACACCCCACCTACCTACCTACTGTTACCACCCAGTTAAACCATTCAAACAGATTAATACACTGATTAACCAAGCATTTTTAAATTTTCTTGCATTGTCTCATATGTGAGCTTTTGGGGGGCACCACATATCCAAACCATAATGGTACTCCTTTTGATATTTTCCTCTCTTCCTTCTCTCCAATTCAAGCTGGTCTGGTGGTCCCTGCCTTGGGGAAGGCACCTGGCAAGGGAGAAAGTAGATCTTTTTTTTTTTTTTTTTTTTATAGGAAACCTAATTCTCAGGGGAAAGGCATTTGTTGGCTAGAGTGTCTGAAGGGAGAAATATTTCTATTAGCTGATAATTTCTTTTGAATTAGGGAGAGAGGAGGCTAAATGTCCTGAGTACAGAGGACTGTATTGACTTCCCCACAGCACCACAGGAGGGCATCAGGGTGGAACAGCACAGCCAATCAGGAGCGGGAGTGCAGGGGATGAGGACAAGGGCCACATGGAGTAGACTGACCAGCTTCACTTCACTGGTCAGCTGTGCAAGCTAGGCCAAAGGGCCCTCCTCTGAAGCGTGGCACTTTGAGGAAAACTTTGCTCACACATATAACATGTATGGGGCCAAGTCACCCAACAGGACAGAGTGGGCTCTCAATTTTAGAAAATAAGTCGTGAAAAAGAAAATATTCCTTGTGTACCTGAGTTTTACAGAGTAATACAACAATACCAGTATACTAGGAATTAGGTCTAATCTACAGAAGTCCTTGTAACATATGTGTTGAAATAAAGAAAATTTATAATCAAAAGAATGAAATGTGCCTGTGGATCTTAACAGCAACATTGAAAAATGTCTTCATCTTGATGTGGATGCAACCTGAAATCAGGATTAAGGAAAGGAGAATGAGGAAGTAAGTAGTAATGAAGGACTGCTGAATATGGAAACCTATGGTTAAATGATGGGTGTGAGCGTGTAGATTGGTACCTACCAGAGGGCAGGAGTAACAGTCTGTGACTTAGTCTGCCTATACCATCTTCTTGACTGTGTAGCTAAACAAGCCATTGGCCCCAATCCTGCACCAGGGAGGAGTGGGAGAGCTGGCTCAAGTGGTCACTGAGCCTGTAACTGCTCCCCTAGCCCACCCTCTTTAAAATCTTGGGCTCTAGTTTTCTTAGAATAGGCAATTGGGTAAGATAATATATCTGAGTTTCAATTTCCTCTTTTTTAACTTCTGTCCATTAATATTATTCCATTAATATTTTATTTTTTAATCAGAAATTTACTAACATTAAAAATTAAGATATTTCTCATGTGACTACATCTTAAGTGCCAGGTATGTTCACATTGATTCATTACATTAATGTTGTAATTACTACAGCCCTAAGAGATTGTACTATATTATTTACTGTCTTCACATTATTCTCTGTTATGCACAAAATCAGTGGTGGAGCTTGGAATCAAACTTGGGATGAGGTGACTCCAACACCCAAACCTTTTCCACTAAAATATACAACCTCTATTTAGAACTCAATCCAAAATTTAAGGTTTTTCCTTTTATTTTATACAAGCTTATCACTACAATATTAATTTGATTTACTTCACCTGAGATTTAGTGGCTACCTACTATATGCTAATTATTGTATATGATCTAAGAGGTATACAAGAAGTAAAATAAATAAAACATTGCCTTTGCCCTTTTTGGGGTTCAGTTGGACAAGAAAGACATTTTAAAACATGCCATATGTGTGAACAAAGTATTATACATTAGTTTTCCAGAAAATTGATAAACATCTCTTCAAACAACAAACACTTCAAGGATGAGAGGGAAGCAATCTGATTGGCCTCACTTACTATGGCTTTGGTGTCCTTGTGTATAAAATGGAATTGCTATTTTCCCTAAGAGTTGTTTTCAGAATTCTACATGATAATGTGTGGGCAGTGCCTGGTACAGATTAGGGATACAATACATCTTAACAATAAAGACAAAAGTTTAATTTCCAGTGAGAATAAGTTTCTCAAGGGGCACCGACAGCTACATTTGCAAATCAGCATATTCTTCTAAATTTCATTTATTTAGTTACTTATTCAATAAATATTCATTGATTACCTACTATTCTAGGCAATTGGAACACAGTAAACAAAACATAGGAGAATGCCCTTTAGTGTTGTGTGTTGAAGATAAACTCGGCAGCCCTCTGGGGTAGGTACTGCAGTCATCCTCATTTTACAGACTGTGACATGGAGGCATGGACTTTCTTGCCCATGGTCACTGAATATGGAGATGCAAAGCAAGTGACCTTGAATACTGCCATCTGCCTTTTATGCAGTTTTCCAAGTAGAAAATATAGGATTTCATTTTCTTTATTCAAAGTGACCATTACTATCCACCAATTATTGTGATGTCACATGGAGATGCTCTCAGAAACTATTGTCCTTGAGGGGTTGGCTTCCCCTGCCCTAATTGACCCAGAACTATGATGTAGTTGGTGACCAGCTGTCAATTCCCACAATATCTAGTGCTTTTAATGCAGCTGGGGTTACCTAGGGGAAAACTAGGTAGCATCAGTAAACCATTGAGGGTTTTTTCAGATGCAATTCTAAACATAGATTCTGTCTCCCTCAAATGCCAATTGGAATGTGACACTATTCTCTCCTAAGGGGAAAATGGCATCAATTTCCCCAGAGGCATCCATCATCAACTTGTGTGCTTAAATTGCCTAAGTTTGCTCTAAGACTGAAAAATGCCTGTTCTAGTCTCATTCACAGCCCAATTCCTCTCAGCAATCCTACAAATCCTGCAATCTTTCCACCTCAAGGAACACATTTTATATAGTTTTAAAATTCTAAGTATACAACATACTATCATTTAAACCTAACAAGCTCTATGAGATAAATGAAGAAACAAGCTCAGAGAGGTTGAATAATCTAAGGATGCACAGTTTTAAGTGGTTGCAGGATTTGAACCCAGGCCATGTCCCTGTTCTTAAAACAATTAAGAACAGCAACATCTGTATCTTCACTTCATTCTCTAATTCTTATCCAAAGAAGAAAGGCACTTTTAACAGAAGAAAAGACCATATTTAGTAACTCATTAGGGGTAATAATGTGTTTATCAAACATACTTTGGAGCCCTGGTATGGCTATTCTTTGCTGTTTCCTTGACCCTAGTGTGCTTTGCTTTATTCAACTGTGAAATCTAGGAATGCAAGAAAAGGCCTAAAAGGCTCTCAGTAAGCAAAGCACCAATTCTTCACCGCTCCAGGATCTCCTGCGGTTTAACTGAACTGCACGCGCCGAATCTGCAAAGCTTAAGATGCTGACACAGTTTGCAGTGATTTGGAATCACCTTTTTTATTGGTTGCAGGGGCATGCGGAGTGTGTTAGTTGCACCGCTGTGTTCCAACCCAGAGAGACAGTTAATGTGGTTAGTTTCGTTCCGGATAGAGGATGGAGGGTCCCGCCAGTTACCTGAGGCCAGCACGAAGGCCGGGACGCTGTGGAAGCGCACAGGGCCACAACTGCGGCCGCCCTTACACTCCACAAAAGCGGTCACCAGCCCGCATGGGCAGTGGATGTTGACACGGGCCTCGCAGGTGCCGGCTGGGGGTGCAGGCACCAACCCGAAGTCGAGGGCGAAGCGGCCAAGCGCCAGCACTGCGTGGCCGCACATGGAACTGTAGCCCTCGTTGTGCAGGAACAGAACGCCCAGGTTAGCGTCCGGAAGCTCGCTCTGCACCAGGACAGCTCCGTACATGTCCCGGTGACCCCGGGGCTCGAACATGAGTCGCCGCCGCACGTAGTCAAGGTGCTGGCGCATGTAACGCCGCTTGGCCAGCAAAGTGGGCCCTTCCACCTCTGGACACCCAGCCAGCACAATGCGCAGGGGCTCGCCGCCCGTGTGCATGTCCACCACCGACAGCGCCGGCGTCCCCGGGTCGTGTGGGGGTAGGCGGGGCACGGCTAGCGCGCTCTCCATTGTCGGTGTCCAGCAGCTCCACCACTGCCCAGCGGTGCTCGCCCAAGGATAGGAACCTACAACTCACCCTAACCCAGAAGGCTAGTGGGCGTGGCAGCCTTAGGGGCGGGGCATTGAGACTAAACCAGGAAGTGTGGGCGGGGCTTCTGGCGGTCGCCCGGGTTACCAGGAGGCGGAGCCGTCAAGGCTGCTGTAGCCCGGATGTCCGAGTGCCCCTGTCGCCTCCACTGATCCCGGAGCTACTTGAAGCAAACCTTCCAGCGGTCAATGGGTGAGTGGTCGACGGGATTTGGAAGAGTTTATTTTAGTCCCGGCTTTTTTCCTACGCAGTCGGCTCCGGTATGGCTGCGGATGGGCAGCCATCTATAGCGGCTCATTCTCTCCCTGGTTCCCACCTGCCATGGGGCCGGGCCCTGGACACCTCCTGGGGTTGGGTGGTGTCTGCTCCTGACAGGCTGCAAGGGGGCGCGGGCTGTTATCGGGGGGAAGGCCCAGCCTTTTGTTGTTCTGTATGAAATGTCACTTCAGTCCCTTTGTGTAATGCGGAGGAAATGCATTAATGAATTAAGAGCGCGGGCGTTAGAACAGAACAACAGTAAAGGAGCAGAAGCTAATTACTGCATAGATTAATATCTCCTGCTTCATTCTCCGCGCTTTAAGTTTATAGGGTCCTTCACAGACAGACCGTTGGGGGGAAAAATCTTCTAAAATTTTAACCATTGTTCAGTAAAGGAAATTAAAGGGGAAATTGAACAGACTTTTGGAGCCTGGGTTTTGTTTGGTAGATGGTGAGCTGTTGCTTTCAGTTTATCGTACAGGATATTTCAGGTCTTGGATCTCGAGAAACATTAGATTATGTACCTTCAAGAAGAATTACTAAGCATTTACTAGATATAAAGCCCTTGCAGAAGCTTCCAATTCTTTAACTTTTGCCTTCTTGAAACATTTATTTTCATGTATTTAGAATCCTGTAATTGATTATAGTTGCCTATTTTAAAAAGCGACAAAGAAGCTCATGTGTTTACAAAACTAAGTCCAATATTTGATAAAATCAAAAATACTAAACTTGAGACATTTTACCTAGTGTCTTTTCTGTTTATTTTTCAGCAGCAGCAGGAGAAATAAATGGAATTTGAAAGGTGAAAAGGCCTTTAGATAAGGCAGTCTCAATTGTGAAATCATGAAGAATTTGGGAAAAGATTGTTCTAGTCATAAAATGCATTATTTTCCAAATCAATTCACATTTATACCATAGTTGATTTGGATTTATTCCACATTAGGCTATAGGTTCTTAGAAAGCAGGGACTCTGTCATGCTTCTCTGTGGACCTTTAGTGGCCCTTAACTAGTGAAAATGATTTCAGTACGTGTTTATTCAAAGAATAAGCTAGTGCATGAAGGGAATCAGATGTCACGTATGAAAAACTCCTCCAACAATTTTTCCTGGTGGATGAGATCCAAGATGATCTGTAGGTCCTAAGTTTTTTGGTAAAGAAGACTTATTTCCCTCCCACCTACTCCCCACTCCCACCCCTACCCCCACCCCACCCGCACCAGCTTTGAGTTCAGGGATTTGATTCTAAGGCACTTGTTCCCAAATTTTGGTCAGAGGCCCAATGATGACCTTGGTGAAATTTTCGCCTGTCCTCAAAAAAATGATAAAAGCTAGGACAATATAGGAATTTTTTTTTTTATTGAGGTGAATGTATTTACTCTCAAAGGTTTACCCTCTATTCTGAAATTGTCCTTTTTGCTATTAAAATGTGTTGTTATGAACAAAGATTATAATAGATTGTATGTGCTTAATTCCTGAACTGGGTACAATAAAAAGTGATGATCCTTTATGAGTCTTGTTTTTTGTAAAAAAAAAAAAAAAAAAAAAAAAAAAAAAATATATATATATATATATATATATATATATATATATATATATGAGCAAGGTTTGAATTTAACTTTCTGCAGTGCCACAGCGTAAAAGGGAAAAATTAAAAAATAAATGCATCAGGAGATTTGTCTAATACATGTCATTTTAAAAATCAAAACTATGTTGCCATATATCTGCCAAATCCTTCGCTATTATTGCATTATTTTTTTATAATCACAAAAGATGTTACTATACTGGCGTTTGTTTTTAAAAAGCTGTCGATATTCAACCAGCATGCCTTGGACTTTATTGTGGGAAGACCCTATTATTTAAAAATGGCTCAACTGAAATATATGGAGAATGTGGGGTAAGTCTTATGTTCGCATGTTATTTCATTTGTAAAAATCTATTTGCTTTTGAAATATTTTCCCATGTTTAATCTTTTTTCTTAAATATACTCAGAAAAGATTATGGAGGTATTAATAAAATCCTTGTTCATACTTTCATGTTGAGATTTTTAATGTATTACATCTTTCTTGATAGTCACAGGTATTTTTTTAAAAATTATAATTTTACAGTAAATTCTAATTACTTTTTAAATGCTTTAGTACAGTGACTTGTACAGTAATATAACTTCAGACAATTTCTCTGCAAATTTTTTTACACGATGTTAAAAGTTAGATTTTTAATTAAATGGTAACTATTTAGTAACAAAATAAAAGGAACCCTTTATGAGAATTTTAAAGACATAGCACATAAGATGAGGCTTCTTTTTATTCACTTGGACACTTTAAAAAATTTTTAAATAGCTGCACATACAAAGCAACTGTATTAAACTAAAATATATCTTATAGAATGATTTTTTTGGGGGGTGTTAATATTCTAAAGTACTGTCTGTACATAAAATATGGCTTTTATATATTGTAGGTATGCCCAAGAGGACAGAGAACAAATGCACAGAAGTATTGTCAGCCTTGCACAGAATCTCCAGAACTTTACGATTGGCTCTATCTTGGATTTATGGCTATGCTTCCTCTTGTTTTACACTGGTTCTTCATCGAATGGTACTCTGGGAAAAAGAGGTTAGCTCATTCTATGATTGTTTCTGGATGCACCAATGTTGGAATATTTATTTATTTATTTTGGTGGTAGAAATTGAACTCAAGGCCTTGCACATGTTGAGCACATGCTCAACCCAGTTTTCATTTAGAAGAATAATTACACTTTTTCTGTTGTTTTTAAAGGTGATAAGCCTGTTTTTCTTTATATTCTGATTAAACTTTACTATAGCAAGAAACTTAATGACAGGAGCATCTGATCGAGAAATGAGAGCTGAGGGTGACATTAGAAAGAAGGACTACATGCCTTATTAAGGAACTCTCTTTTATTTTACTGAAGGACTATTTTTTTTCTCAAAAATAATTCTTATTGTGTCTTTTTTTTTTTTTTATACTGGGGATTGAATTCAGGGGCACTTGACCTTGCGCCATATCCCCAGCCCTGTTTTGTATTTTATATTTAGAGACAGGGTCTCACCAAGTTGCATAGCACCTCACTTTTGCTGAGGCCCACTTTGAACTTGGAATCCTCCTGCCTCAGCCTCCCAAGCTGTTTATTGTGTCTTATCTTCTTAAAAAAAAAAAAAACTGTTTATGATTACAAGCTGTTTATTGTTCTATATAAAATACCTTGTAGTTTAATTTAGTGCTAATAATCTAGTATAATGTAGTTAAAAATGGTATTGCTATAACCTAATTATAAAAATTCATATCATTAAGACAACAAATTTATTGAGTAGTGTAGTTTATGTTTGGAAGATCAGGGGAGGAGATGAAGGACAATGATATGGCTTCTAGTGATAATCTTGTGGGAAGACAAATGTATGCATAATTATAATCACTGTTAGAAATATAATAAAATAGTTATTTTTAAAAATTTTTTAGTTGTTGATGGCTCCTTATTTTTAATTTATTTATTTATATGTGATGCTAAGAATCAAACCCAGTGCCTCACACATGCTAGGCAAACACTTTACCACTGAGCTATAACCCTAGTCCCTAAAAGAGTTAAATGTAATGAAAATTATAAACAAAATTCTCTAGAGTCACAGAAAATGGAAAGATAATTGTACCTGATGGAATCTGAAATATTTCAGAGTAGGTAAAAAGACAGTATGAATAATGGCATGGAAGTATGAAATGTGGGATCTGAGGTGGTCAAAGTATGGGTTGCAAATGAAAGAAAGGTAATATAAAGGAGAGTGGGAAAAGGAGGTTGAGGCCCAAATATGCAGATTCTTGATAAGGATGTGAACTTTATTCTACTAAAATAGGAAGCCAAATTCTTCCTTAGTATGTTTCTGCTCTACTGATTTTCCTTTAACTCCTCCAGCTTCTCAGGACTTTTCCTACTTTATGTCTTTCCTCTCCTTGAACCCCCTTTACTCAGCCTGAGAAGTATGGAAGCGAAAAGGAGCATCTGATCGAGAAATGAGAGTTGAGGGAAACATTAGAAAGAAGGACTGCATGAGGCTAGAATATAAAGATGTTTGGGACTGTTGGAGTCCTAGGAACTGAATAAAAGCAGAACTCATCTTGAAGGATACACTCTTTTCCAGATAGTGAAATGTGTTCTCATCCAACATTGGTACAGGAGAATTTAAAGAAATTTAGCATGGCGGGGAATTGTCAAAGGTGCTGGTGAGGAGTGTTTTTCCTGAAAGCCAGAAGAGATTCTGAAGTACAGTCACATACTGCTTAAAAGCAGGGATATGTTCTGACACTGTTAGACACTTTTATCATTGTGCAGACAACAGGACAGCTTCGAGATAAGTAAGCAACACAATCTTACGGGATCACTATCTCATTTGTGGTCCTTCCTTGACTGCAGCGTTACTAGCAGTGCATAACTGTGGTTTCATAGAGGGAATTTTAGAATTGGCCTTCACGTTGTAAAGATCACATAGGTGACTGCAGATGGATTTGAACGAACACCATGACACCATCAAAGAGGATATTTAAGTAATAGCAAGAAGCCGGGCATGGTGGCCCATGCTGGTTGCAAGTTTGAGTTTGGTCTTAGCAATTTAGCAAGACCCTGTCACAAAATAAACAATCAAAAAGGTCTAGGGATGTGGCTCAGTGGTAAGGCACTCCTGGGTTCAATCCTCAGTACCAAAAACAGGAAGAAAGGGAAGGAGGGAGAGAGGAAGGAAGGAAGAG